TTGTGAGCAATAAATATGCAGTCATACCACTACATTATTCTGGACTAAGTAAGCAGAAAAACAATTTTAAAAGGTTAGTTAGCATCAAACTAGACTTGTGTTATTAGCAGAAAGTTATTGTTGGGCATTCCTCCAAAAAACCTAGTAGTTCCCACCCATATACAGTAGATATAGGGGCACACACACAGAAAGGGGAACACAGAATTAAGCTCTTTCCTTGCACTAATTGTTTTACCTGATTATGAAATAATTATTTTTTAGCTTCCAGAATGCTTATGACTATTCTGTTAAACTATTCATTTTCAACTTCTCAAACTGTCAAACATATTTTTCTTAGTGTATAACAGTAGTAACTGTTATTACATACCCAGCACCAGAAACATGACATACAGAATTGTTAGAAGGTTACTTTTGAAAACTTTAAATGTATCTAAATAGAACAAACTAATTCTGAGAACTGGCAGTCCTTAAAGGAGGCATTTGGGAAAATGGACCTACTCTCATCTGTGACAAGCATGTATTTAGAAGGTCCTGCTTTCCCCCTGCAAACAGCAGCACACATCACCTTAACAATCCAGGCACTCTTCCACATATGTGCAGTATGCAGCTCATTTTACAATATTACATACAAGGGACTCACACGGTAAATATCTAGTTTATACAACAGCCCATAAAAGTTATTTCCACCAAGCCTTTATTAAACAGCATGAGTGATCTTTTCAAGTAGAGGGAAGTAGTGAGCTGTGTTAGTCTGAAGACAAGGAGGAGACAAGGCAGGATAGCACTTTACGGACCAACTTGTTCAGAAATGCTTAAGTTTTTATAGGCAATAGCCTAGTTTAGCAGGTGCTATGACATCTAACAAAGTAGGCTGTTATCTATGAAAGCTTATGCCAATGATTCTCAAGTAGGTTACTGTGGCACTCTGGAATGCCTTGAGATCCTTTCAAGAATGCCACACAATGTCAGCCCTAGCAGGTGCACAAACATGATTCACAATATAAACCTGGAGATTTCAAACAGGAATCCATAGTATTAAAACCATTCCGACCTGTTGTAATCTTTCTGAGTCCCCTACAACAGTAAAAATGCTCTATTATTTTTCTGTAATCACAAAATGAGAGAAAACTAAAATCTGGCATTTTCTAAGGATGCCTGGAGTCTAACAGGTTGAGAACCACAAGCTAGTCTCTAAGGGCACCCACCCCACTCCCGTCCTGCTTAAAGAAGTACTGACCGTGAACTCCACTACATCAAAACACGTTTTATAAACATTAACTTAAAATTAGCAATGCCATTGCCAGTTTCCTATGAGATTTCTGAGCAATTTGTTCTATATTCATTTCTGTCGACCGTCACTGCCTTTATGGGTACATTATAGACACACACTTCTTTAAACTTTGGTACAAAACTGGGGCTGTTCCAACTCCTATTTGCTACTACTACAATGTACTTGCTTCTCCCACTTGTTTTCCATTTGAGCTACAAACACAGTATAAAGCTTTCTGTCTTCACCACATTGTCTCCTTTTAAGTATTAAAATATATTCCATGTAGCTGTCAAATCAGGAGAACACACGCACCCAAAAATCCCTCTTTCGAGGGCAGTGGACATGTCACCTTAGTGCCATACATCCTCCTGTACTGAAAATGCAATAAGGGTTACAATCACACAGCCCTGAAATGTGCAGCTGGGAGACAAGTGTTTAAACACAACTGACAGAAGAACCGGGTTTTTCTCACTTGTTCGCTTTTATTTTTGTGTTTTAATCCCTCACAGCACAGGTCTCTAGGAGCAGGGAGGAGCTCGAGAGCAGGCGGGGAAACCTGGCTGCAATGTCTGGTCTGGTGCAGGCTATGGCTATGCTCCAGCCTTGAAAGCCGGCTACAAAGGGGCTTAAAGGAGCTGGGTCCCGGCCACCCCCCGCCGCAGGGGCAGGCCTGAGCCCGGCTCAGGGCGGAGGCGCAGGGAGGTCCCAGGGGCCAGACCCCCTCCTCCGCCCGGTTTCAGTTTCTCTGCTTCGGCAGCAGCCAGCGGGTCCCTCC